CTTTTTCTTTTTCAAAAAACCTTTGATTTTATAGACTATATATTTATTACGCAAGGGTTTCTATTAGACTTTAAACTTTACTTTTTCTTGAAAATGTGGTAAATGGAAACTGATATGTTTAGCTTCAAAATTTTCTTTCAGAAATTAAAATCGGTTTTTATTTTTTCTCTTTGGCTTTTGTGAATATTCTTTTTTTATGACACACACACACATATATAGCGATTTTATGATAGCGCCTTACTTTTAAAAACGTTTCTGATAATGATTTTCTCCTTCAACATTTTATGGATAATATTTTTGCCTTGAAGGGAAAAACTCAAAACAACATAGAGTATTTTAGAAATGTCTGAAAAAATAACTTGCTTTTAATGCTAGACATATATTAAAAAATTTGAAAATGCCTTATCAACATTTTCTTTAACATAGACCTATTAGGCATTGTTCAATAAATGAAAGAAGTATATTAAGTTTGAATAAAATATTGTCAGAGATTAATTCAGATACAACACCGCTCAGAAATACCACGAATTAATGACGATGATCCTCATCCTAATATTGGCGCTTGTATCAGCAATGAAAATAGTGTCTATATCCCAAGAAAGCTTATAAAGCATACAAATTTTTTCTAAAAAGCTGATTTTTCTTCACCTACCAGTCCTCCAGAAATCTATCAGCTAACAGCCAATAGGAATATGTTTCTATGGGGATAGGAATGATGCAAACCACAATTGTTTGATTTATTCCACTCAAATGATATAGTACAGCCTCTGTCTTGGACATCTTTATCGAATTTTGAATGAAAGTTAAATTCTAAAAAAAAATTAAATTTGTGGAGGCACTTAAGAAATTTATTTTTATGTCTCGCCTGTGTATAAAATTTTTTTTTAAAAAAAATGAAAATCAGTGGCTAAATAAAGAAAAAAAACTTCATGATAGAACTGCTGGAATATAAAATACAATAAAAACAATTAATTTTGTAATTGTAGCCATGAAAAGAAAATTATGTGAAGTTTGGTTTTAATAAATATCCTATACAAAAACAAAAAAGTCCTACATCTCTCATTGAAGCCTTTAAATTTTAGTACAATACATAAATGACTCCATTTTCTAAAAATAGATTTATTTGTTAGCTTTGACTTTCAAAACAGCAATGTTAAGCTTTATATTTATTCATTTTATATCATTTACTTTAATATATTTTAGCTTTATTATTAGTTATTATCTAAGTTATTAATTCCCTCTTTATATTACATACTCTTTCCAAAAGCTTTCAAAAAGCTGGACTCTGTGTTTTTGCTCAAATTTAAAATTTGTATATCTTTATTTTTCTATATTTTCCAATTTTATAGTCATCTTTTTCCTACTTTTGAAAATTCTGATTAACAATAAGGATTTTGTTTTATATATAGATTCTTAGTGTAATTAATAAACATGTATTTCATTCTAAAATATATGATTATTTGTCAAGTATTAAATGTTTACATTCAATTAAGGAAGTTTTTTCATTTTAGACTTTACGAGACAACAGAACTACAAACCTCGACAATAACTCAACATTAGGACAGTTGTCAATTGTCATGCCCCCTCAGCGTCGAAAGCGTGGCGAAATTGTCGAAGAACCTAAGAACAACAACAAACGTCAACGAATGACTAAGTAAATAGTTTTGAAAATTATTAACTTTGATTTTCACTTAACTTCAGTAACTGTTTATCCTTTTAAATATTTGATTATGATGTTATGGGAAATTTTGGTATTGCACGTTTTTTATTTAGCTCACATTGAGCTTGTACAGACATAGTTTTCTATTTCAACCCATTAATATCTGAATTTTTTTTCAACTTAATATTCTGTTTGGTTTTGAAAATGGTGTCAAATGAAGGGGGGGAGGGGGGAATTAAACTTTAACGGATATTTATTTTATAAAAATCTAAAAGTCATAATTTTTGGACACTAACCATGAATGGGTACGGGTTTTTCCCATTTAAAAAAGAATCCAAAATAAGAATTTTAGCTTCTTTAGAAAAAAAATAAAATTAAATTATATATGAAATTCTAAAAACATTTGCAGTTACTGCACTTTCTATTGACTTTTTTTGTACAATTTCCTCAGTGTAACTGTTTTATTCACCCCAACAAAGTGATTTATACCATCATAATTAATTAAATCTTGCACTTTGCATCTGCATGTTTTTGAATTAAGTTTGATTGGATCAGAGAAAGTGGTCTTTGATAATGTGTTAAACATATTCTCATGTTTGATGCTTAAAAAATCTAATAATTTTGAAGAAGAAAATGGATACAAATGACATGTGCCAAATATTTCGAATCGCATTTTCTAACCCAAATACAAATAGTGGCCACCACTGTTTCTTAGACAGAGTGGAACAATGATATGCATTTGCATTAAGAGAAAAAATAAATTCTCAAAAACCAGCATATGAATTACGAATTTAAAGTTTCATACCACATTATGTATTTACATTGAAATATTTCAGATATTATTAAATTTTTATGATATATTATCTATCACATTTTTTGTAACACTTAAATATGTATTTAAATTAATTGATGTTGAAAATAGAACAAATTGCCGTTAGGATATATTTAATTGTTTTAATAGGCTGCAGCAATGACTTAAATTTCTACTCTATAATGGCAATTTCATTGCTCCCAAGATTGCTCCATAGTGATTCTTTATTATTCCTATTCTTGTATATGTAACATGGTGATTTAAATATAAGCTTCATTTTAAGACCATTTCATTATTATATTCTTATATTTTCAGGGAGACTTTCGTTTTTTGATTTCTAATAATAATGAGAAAATGAAAATTATAAATGCTTTCCATTTTTCCCTCTAACTTCTGCAGAAATTTTTTTTTTAACTAGTTAAACTATTTTATGGGGAATTTAATTTTCTGTGGAGCGAAAGTATTGTAGTCCTCATTCCTCCCTCTGAAGTTTCTCTAAAATTCATTTCCTTGGGATAAAACTAGTTGACCTTTATACAGGGATGAGATTTTTTCGCTTTTGCCTCTCGAACTTCAGCCTTTTTTATAACTCCGATAATCTAAAAGTTTAATTTTTTTAAAAATATAAATATCCCCTTTTTAAATTTTTTTTTCGAAAATTTGAGCGTTCAACATTGCGATTCTTATTAAGGGTATTTAAATATCGTACATTGCGATTCTTATTTACGAGATTTAAGTATCCAATATCGCGATTTGTATTTACGCGCTTTTAAAACCCTATGTAGCGATCACGCGAGCTTAAAAATCCAATGTCGTGATTCGTTTTTTTGTAGTTGTAATATCAAACATCGATTTTCGTATTTATACGTACTTTAAAAATTAGACATTGTGATTTGTATTTGCACAATTTAAACATTATGCATCATGATTCGCATTTACGTGATCTAAAAATTACGCATTATGATTTGTATTTTCGCATTTTTTAATATTCAATATAGAGTTTCATATTCACTAGATATAAAAGCCTCATATCGGGATTCATATTCTCTCAATTTAAAATCATGCATGTGATTCATATTCATGTATTCACACAATTTTGAGATTAATCATCGGGATTTACAATCACATGGCTTACAAGTTTAAAACTTTTTTTTGTATATATACACACACACAGGGGTGATTCTGCTCCGGAAAAAATCCAGACTTCCGGATTTTTCGCTACCCGCGATCCAAAAGTTTCCGGAAATCTGAAGTCCAGAAGTTTCAATAAATCATCGATCACATTTATATACAGGGATGAGATTTTTCCGCTTTTTAGCGGATTTCCGCTTTTTAGCGGATTTCCGCTTTTTTCACTTATCTCTTGAATTGCAGCTTTTTTTATCAAATATTCAGATTTTTCTAAAAATTTCACTTTTTTTAATAAGTATTCCGCTTTTTCAGAAAATTGACCAGTTTTCAAAGAGAAACAGAAAATTCAAACTACATAGCTACCAATCCTTTCTCATTTTTACTTATTTTAGCTATTTTCTCCCCTTTTACTAGCAGCAGATAAGATTTTCCGAATTTTTTACCCGCCCTCCAGATATATCAGATTTTTTTAATTCAAACGACGCTATTTCTGACGAGCCTTTTAGAGGTCCCAATCCTGGAATCTGCTAATATCTCGATTTTATTCACACAATTTTAATATCAAACATAACTTTTCATATTTGCGTGTTGCGATTCTTATTCACATGATTTGAATATTGTGTGTTGCGATTCTTATTTACAAGTTACAAGATTTAAAAATCCAATATTGTGATTCGTATTTACGCCTTTTTAAAAACCTATGTAGCGATTCGTATTCACGCAAGTTTAAAATTCAATGTCTTGATTTGCTCATGCGGTTTATAATATCAAACATTGATTTTCGTATTTATACGTGATTTTAAAATAAGGCATTGGGATTCGCATTCACGCATTCTAAAAATTATGCATCATAATTCTTATTTATGCAATCTAAAAATTACGCATCATGATTCGTATTTACGCAATCTAAAAATTATGAATCGTGATTTGTATTTACGCGTTTTAAAAATTCTATATCCCAGTTTGTATTTTCTCATTTTCAAAATCGTATATCTAGTTTCATATTCATGTGATTTCAAAATCCATAATTGTTATTCATATTCACGCAATTTTAAGATCAACTATCGCGATTCTTGTAAGAAGTAAATTTTTTTTAAAATTAGTTACTATAAAGGTGACTGTTTTTCTAACGACGATTATTAGTATATGTAAGTGTTACAACATCAGAGAAACTGGAAGGGAATATATTCAAAACTTACATTCTGTGCTTGCAAAGAAGAAAAAATAGGATTTGTCACAAGATGTTTGAAGATGGACTAACGACTAAATATAGCAAACATAAAAGATATAGCAAACAAAAGCAATCACTTAAAAAGGGATTTAATTTAATTTTTTTTTTTTTGGAAAAAGAGTTAATTAACTCATCATCAAAATTTTATTTATAATTGCTGTTATTTATGCTATAAAATGCAAAATTCTTATCAAATAAAAAACAATTATCTAAACAGTTGCTGATTGTCATGTAATTTTTCAAACTAAAATAGCAATTTTTGTATGTTAAGGAGTTACTATATATTTCTACTTCACTGTTATTGATATGTTTCAAAGGGCTCTAGTTAGATTAGACTATGATATGAACATAATGATTCAGTCCATTGTTAAAGTTTTTTTTTCCAATATAACAAATTTCATTAAAATCTGTCCTGTAGTTCTAGAGATAATTGACCAAGTCTGCAAATTCTCTTAATTTCTTACACCAGTGTAGATTTCCCACCCTTTAGTATTCACTTGACCTAACAGCACAAACCAAAAAATAAAAGGTGGATAATGAAATAGGCTTCAATTCTAAATTCTGATAAAAAGGCACCCCATGTTTGTTATCTCTTACTGGGTCCTCTTTTTTTGTTTTTGAGGAATTATTTATTGTATTGGATTGTATTTATTGTTCAAATTAGTGAGCATATTTAAAAATATAGATGAGTTTTCACGTTAGTTTCTGCCTTCATGTTGCAGTTTTTTCATGGAAATCGAAACATTATCCTTCAATAACAAAATTGAATAAAAATACATGTCTTTTTTAAAGAGTAAAAACGCTTTAAATTACCAATATAAATATTAATTTTTTTTTAATTCTCCCTTCTATTTCAAATAAACAAAAAACTATTACACTTTTCTTATTTTTTAATGAAATTGTGTGGAGTTCAGCAAATTATACAACATCCAAAGTAAAACCAAATTTTGATGGCCATGAACATTTTCACTTTAAATTAATAATACGAAGAAGAAAAATTTTTAGCACTTATTCTTTTAAATATAATCAAGATACATTTATATATTTGTTTATTTATTTTTAACATTTTTATTTCCAAAACAATATTTACATATGGTTTTTAATGAAATGTATGTATATACAGTAGGGAATCGATTATCCGGAACAATCGGGACCATCGCTATTCCAAATAACTGATTTTTCCGGTTTTCTGAATCGCTACGAAAAGCCTTTTTTTTTTTTTTTATAAATAATCTTAAAAAGAAGAAAAAATGATGAAGTAATACACTAATGATTATTTCCAAAATGATGGTAAGGTAAACATCTTTCAAAAAAGAAAGAAAAATCATAAAATCTTATGAGGAAAAAAAATTATTTTTTTGAAAATAACGGGAAAATTTATTACATTTCGTTCCGATTTTCTGAATTCCGGATAACGGGTTCTGTACTGTACTAATTTTAGAACTATGGTATGAGTACCCACTTAGGAGTAAAGTATGTATATCTAAACATGTTCTTTTGAATGCATTACTGTAAGAAAACTATAAAACAAAATTAATAAGTTATGCTTCATATTCAATCTATATTAATCCTATGTATCTAAAATACATCAAAATGTTCAGTAAAATAAATTTAATAGTTTGATTTTAGAAAGTCTACTTTAAAAAATACCACTTTATCCCACCTGGCCCCCTACAGTGTACATCTGAAAATTTGTCACCTTGAATAACTTTCTATAGTGTTCAATTTTTAAAAGTCACTGAATAATGACAATTTTGTTTTGGAGAGAGACATTTAAAAATCCACTCTTTCAACTGTAGAACTTTTCCTCTAAATAAAATT